CTTGATATTATCAAGAGATAGGGATAATTATACTGATTAATTCATGTACTAGGGTCCTTAAATATCTTGAGATAACAATTATCCTTAGGTTAAAGATAAAGGAAAAAACTATTAATGGAGATAACAATTATCCTTAGGGATATAAATGGTCAAATAATGGAGAGAAATTAATTATTGTCTAACTTGTTTGATTAATTCATCATTATATCCATAAGGATAATTGTTATCTCTAGATAGCGAATTATAGGATACCTATTGGAGATACCTATATTAGTGATACCTATATTAAGAGAGAGATGATATATGTATTATTGAGGTATACTCTATTATAGGGAGTAACATAGAGTTAAAAACTCTATTGGTGACTATGATTAATTAACCATTTAGGGTTAGTTAAATGGTAATATGTTCACATTGGATAAAATGATCCCTATATATGTTACTACGTGAGGGACTATTACCAATTGTTTGATTATATAAATTAGTTAAATTATAGAATTTTTATAAGGGAATCGAAATTATTTGGTTCTGAAATATAGTGGATGATATTACTCATCATATAACGGTTCCTATAATTAATAGTATGGCTGACCCCAATAGTGTTGTTCATAAATAGTAAGGGAAAATGTTTAAATGGTAATATCATAATTATTGGGATACCTATTAAATAACTTATTCCCCATAGGTATAATGGAGAGTTTTAAGGACAGTTCATCATGATCATTAAGTATATTGTCCTAGAGGGTATTAATCAATAATCATTTTGCGGTTTATTCCCCTAATGTATAAATAGTCCAATTAGGTAAAATACCAATCTAGCCCTCTATTGATTAAACCTCGATGTTAGCCCATATCGAAAGGTATTAGTATGTTATATTATAATACCCATTCATTATAGTTATCCTCCAATATACAAGTGTAATATTGAGGGAGACCAGATATGGTATTTAGGTACGGTTGATGCATATATACTTCTACCAATTTAATTAGTTAGTCCAAATTCATAGATTAAGGGTTAACGTAATATTCCCAAACTAATTAGCCTATGAGGAAGAGCCTTTCATTAACTATAATAGAATCAGCTATGTAAGTTAATGATCATGTGTAATTAGCTAAATAGATACTAGATTACAAACAAGAGTTTACCTTATATTCAGAGGTATAGTTATCATGGCTAATCAAAAGGTATAACTTCATTGGTTAACTATATTACATCCTTAATTACCTTATTATCATCTTAATATGTATAGTTATCATTTCTAGGATAATTAGATAGACTATATATAATCCTAAGGCAATATATTATGAGTATCATAAGTATTTTTACCAATAATAATGAATATCATACCTAATTATAGTTACATAGGGGATATTAGTAATAGGATTATATTATAAAATGATAGGACTACATCAGTATCCTATTCATGGTATCTTATGTGATAACCTAATAATTTACTAGGGTATTGTAATCAATACCTATCAATAATATGATAGCTTACGATATTGAGATCATAATTCCATGTGAGCATGAAACACATATCTATGAAGAATAAAGCCTATAAGTATTCACGCTTAAGCCTATTCTTATGAAATATTACCTTAATATAATAGTTATATTACACGTTGAATGTAGGGGTATAGGGTGTTTTACTAAGTTGTAGGATTACTAGCTATAATGATCAAGGCCTATAGTTTAAACTAATACCTCTAGTAAAATAATTATAGGCTTAAGCGTATGGTTAAGTTAACCAAATCAATATAGAAGCAAATTATCGGATAACCTATTAGAAATAATATAGGTTAGGGATTATAATGAGCACCCTTAGAATTCATAGATTAGTATGTTAAAAGGATAATATAAATCAACTTGCACGATATCATAAATTATAATGACCCCTATGTAGAAACGTAGGGATGGCCTAACCTATAAATGGGGAAAACATATACTTAGGCATAGGTATACTCAATATAAGGATTATTATAAAATTTATATGGGTTCATAGGGCTACATATCATCGGTACTATAGTTATGATATTTACCATGGGCTACTTAGGTGTAATCACACGATATTACTCTAGTAAAGCCATAGAGTTATTATTGTTATAACCAAAGGATGATCCCACTTATATCTAACTAAATTATTGGACATAATATAAATAAAATCACCATTGTAATGGGATATCCCCTCATTACCACATGAAAAACTATAGTTATAACAGCCCAAACCTTTTATCTATGATTTATGATGGTATTACTATACTTGGTCCATAATATATTGAAAGTATGTCTTTTAAAATTAGAATAGACTAATACTAGTATTATAATATAATGATTGAGTGCTTATAGGGATACCTTTCTTCTATATAGTATCCTTGGATTACAAAGCTAATATATTCATTGGGCAGAATATATTTATGGATAATCTATATAACTATAATCATATATATTTGAGATATAGACTATTGGGATATCCCCTAATGTATAAAATTCCCAACACATGCCTCTTAATTCATAGACGGAGATTATTATCCCCATAATACCATTTCATAATTGGCCTATCATATATATATATATATATATTCCCGACCCTAGCATGATATTATAGCATTAATGATGTGAACCCCACATATAAAGATGAAAGACCCAAACACCTTTGTCGTTAGACAACCCCAAGAACATGCCCAATCAGGTTACACTCATTTACCCATCACATAAATATAGCATTGTGATATTAAGTGAGCCTCTCTCCCTCTCTCTTTCTCTCCCTCTCTCCCTCAATTGGAACTAGGTGCGGAATAGAAAGGAGGGAGAGAGGGAGGCAGGTAGATAGAGGGTGGGAGAGAGAAGGAGGGAGAGGGAGAGGGAGTTAATGGTTTGTATCATCCTAAAACTCCCCACTAGATAATCAACTCCCCCGGTTATACTCTCCTCCTATTATACATTATTTTAGGGAGCTACTATAACCCTTTTGATTCCATGATATTATGAGTTTGGATGGTGAGTGTTCATTTAGACTATTTAGAATAGGAAAGATATTTTAAAATTATTTATAAAGGGCCTATTTCCCTTCCTGCTATCATGAGCCTAAGAAGAATTATAGGACAAGCCGGGAAGTTATTGAAAGATATAACTCTCTAGAATTCCATGATGTTTTAATGATAAATAAGTGGATGCAAAGTAACATTAAAATGGCTCAATGATTATCTAGTTAAGGGAATACATTAGCATATAAATCCTATATTTAGGCCAATTGGACTCGTGCTCTATATGATAGAAGGCATTTTGAGGAAAGAGCCCAAACTATAGATCTTACTACCATCTAACAAGCATGGAACTCATTCAACTTTACACACATCGTAAGTGTTAATATTAATCCCTAAATGGATCAAAATAACCTCATAAAAATTATTAAATATATTAATAAAGTATTTGGTAGGAGAACATGCTTGTCAAGACTTTGGGTTTTTTTTTTATAAAAATCTTTCAAGGGTGTTCAACAAGGAGATCCATTTTCACCTCTGTATACCAGTTTATTGGCCACTGCAAGGAGATCCTAAATTAAGATATTATCTATTCTTTTTGGATGTTTTCATCCCCTCCATTGAGTTACCAAATGCACTATCATTAAAGGTTATGTAACAAACATGTTCTCCTCTTGCTTGGGTGAACATAGGTCCATATACACCTCTATGTATAAGGTCTCTATTAATTAGTAACTTTTTCTCCTTTTTAACTCAATAAATATTGGTGAATAAGATGCTAACTAATCAGGATGATCTTGACTATTAACCAATTTATACGGTATCATCTCCCACTCTCTCAAAATTCACATTCTCCATGAATTGATAATCATTTTAGATACATTCTTGAGGGGAATGGTTTCATTGAAGGAGGCACTTGTCTAAGCTAAGCCAAATATATTATTATAATAATCAATATAATATGTGAATCCTCTAATGTATATGCGGACCAAATTGGGTCAAGGAGAATAGCTAAGATTGACCATGCCGGAGTAAAAGGTATATTTATTTAGGTCTTAGATAGGGTATAGTTTAATGGATCCATTTATTCCCATTTTTGTGGTCAATCTCCCTCCATTGGTATGATAAAGAGGGCAAGAGAGAAAAAGAGATGAGGGATAGAAAGGAAGGGAGGTAGAGAGCGAGGGAGGGATAGAGAGCGAGGGAGGGAGGGAGAGGGAGTGAAGAAAAGATGTCTAAATCATCATTGGTATGATCATATTAATGGTTTTAAAGTTTGATTATCATTATACTAAAAAGTAAATTCTAAATAGTCTCTCTCATGGACCTAGTAAAGGGTTTCACATGGGCTATACCATTGTAGAGTTATCTAAAATACTAACCAAATTAGATGCTAAAGGGGTCAACAATCAATCGACTTTATGCAAGACCTAACAAGACTTGCCCTCCCTCTCTCTCTCTACCTCTCCCTCCTCCCTTTTGAATATTGATTGGTCATCTCCCTTGAAGCTATCTTGAAATACCAAGGTGGATGTTTAAATTGTAAAATATTATTATCAATAATAATTTATCATGGAATAAGAGCATTTCCCCTATCTATTAATAGGGAATTATTTATGGAGTTCTTCCTCCATCCCTATCCCTTCCCCGTTAATCTGTGTAAATATTATCTATTTAAGACCTAGGGTAAATCTTTACAATAAGTGATTGGGATCCCCTAATGTTTCCTTGTATTATATCCTAGCCAATGAGGCGAATTTTATATTATTGAAACTTAGTTATTTACCTATATGGTCATTACAAATTCACTATACCTCTTCGTCAAGAGAGGGAGAGATATAAGATCAAAGTTGGTCCAATCAGTAGAATAGTCCCCACCCCTCTATGGAGGTGATAGAATAGAGGTAGATTTTAAATTTTGAGGGATAGGCCTTATAACTCCCCTCCCCTATAAAGGTTGTTCTCAATATTTTATACCCCTAGTGATCTGTTTCTTGGTTGGAGAGGGGAAAAATCAATTACTTGGGTACATCCCTTCTACCGATGACCCCCTCATTCAAAATTAGGAGAGTAATACTTACCATCTCACTTGTGACAACATCACTCAAAACCTCATCTTTTTATCATTTTATCTAGATATTACATGGTTTAACTATAAATATTTATGATAGTTAAAAAACATAAATTAAAACAATATAATATTACTATATCCTATAAAATATACTATGTAATATTTAAATATAGGGAGGGCCGAGAGGACTTCTCTGTCTCTTTAGGAATATTTTCACCTTTTATTACCTAGTCTTCACTACTAGTTTTACTCTCTCCTTAGTGATTAATATCCTCTTTGACCGGGGAGACTCCTATCTCTCTCTATTAATGGAAGAGATGACATGGGAATGATGAATCAAATACTATATCGGGAAAGGTAGCTTTTAGATAGGGGAATGATCAATCAACATATAAACTTCGTAGATAATTAGCATAGGTGGAGTAATATAATAGGCCATTTAACATTTTAGTGTATAAAGGTCTATATGATCCTACACTCATTTCCTAATGAAATGATATTCATCTCATCTTTTAGGGAGGTGAGGTAGCGCTAAGGAATGGTATGAGTTACTAATGACTCAAAAATATCCTCTCCTCAAATAATGTCCTACCATATTGGAGATGAAGATAATATTAACACCCTATCTTTAAGTTATTAGACAAAATCCATTTAAATTTACAACTCTTATAACCTGAATCATAATAACAAGGTATTATAAACTATCTTTAAATTATATCCCTTATTTATGTGTGGTGACAATAGAAACTATTGATATTAAGTTAGGTAGTAAAAAATATTATGATTATTAGTCATCCTCCCATTATAAACCTATGAAGAAAATCCCATTAATTAGTTTTTGACCTATCACCCCGCTATAAATAATAGTTAGGGACTTATATAGATAGTTCTCTACCATATTATACGAGATAATATGGGAGATCATATTGTCCCTCTATCATTTTATGAATAGAAAGTCCAATAGGTGCACTATACCTTTCTCCTTCTCTCTCCTAGTGTAATACCCAAAATATATGGATACTCGACCTCTAGAGAAAATACATGATTTCTATCGGCTATATTTTCCATTAGATATTACTTGATGCTTGCTCCCTATTTCTCCCTCCAATTATAGACAGAAGTTTGATGCATAGTATCCATACTTTATAATTATTTCCAGCATCCATAAATCATTATAGTAAAATAATAGAATTTATGGATACTAGGCCAAATATTGTTCATTGTTAAAGGCTCTCTACATATGGTATATTAATAAATATTAGTCTATATCATCTCATTAATTAGATGAAGGAGGTCTATCCTAAATCAGCATGAATTGAACTTATCAATTTCTAGATTATACATTGTAGATCAATGGAGGGTAATAGCCTATCTTCGATTGCAAACACATATATGGTAATATTACCTCAAAATATATAAAGTGATTACCCTAAATAATTAGAGAGATTATCCCCCTATACTAACCACTATATCCTTGGTTCATCTATGATAGTTAGCATGATGATTTAATAGCCTATAAACTCATATATATATATATATATATAGGAGTCTAAATGAGAGATTAGTCATTTATATTAATTTTAATCATAGTGATCATATTATAGCTTATTATGAGTCCATGGGCTTGTAATGAGAAACCCTAACTTCTCTATTTATAGCAAAGTTAGATTTATCCCTCGTTTCTCGAATCATGAGGGCTTTTACACTAATATTTAAATATAACTAAAATATAATAGATATTTCTTCATATCCTCCTCTAGATAGTATGTCTATAGCACACACACACACACATATAAAGATATTATTATATTCTTCAATCATATGGTAAATTAAGATAGAATTTGTGGAACGATATGAGTGCAACTAAAACTGAAGGAAAACGTATAGGAATGGGAGAATAGAGATCACAATAGCTTGATTCTTTAATTAGGAGAATGTACGTTCCCATAAGTGAAAGGTGAATATACTCCCTTACTATAGAGTATATTTGATCCTTTCACTTATTCTGTATTCTTATAATTTTCCATCCTCGAAAGGTATATTTACCTTTTGGGGATGGTCCATCATGCAAGAGGGATAGTTATCCCATATTTAAAATGAGATTCTCATTTATATGGCTAAGTTGATGTTGCTACAAATTTATGTGAATGATCAATTTGGGAATAACGCACGATAACATTCAATCTATTTTTGAGATAGATTGTGCTATTATGATCCTTCAATTGGTATCGGACTCCTTCCTTCAATAATGTAAGGAGATGGTGTCAACTTAATACTATTTATCAATAATAGCTCTTTCATAAGGTGAGATTACTTGTTATTCTAAAGATTATACTTTGCCTATGAAATTAATATTCATACAATGGAACCCGAGAGTTGAGTTAATTTATTAGCTATCAACTTATAGACCAATCCTAGCATGTTACTTTGGATAAACCTCTTTGCATGAATGTGATATATATTAGTGAATTAATTTGTAGCTAATAAATCATGTGATCGTGATCCTCCACATCTATGGCTATTTGGAATTTACATCTTATTTAAAATACCAAGGATTCTCTACCTAATATTATCTCCACAATCTCACCTTTTTAGAGATCAACAATGGTGCCATACTTTAACATAAAAATGGCTAATTGTGACTGTTATAATAGGGGAGTCCATTTAACCATCTCTCCTCTCATAAAAGGTGATTATAATTTGAGAAATTGTATTGAAAATTAATTTAGGTATGTGTCATACGTGTAGGGCCCTCTATCTAAATTATCATTGTTCCTATCTATGAGAGAAGCCTAAGAGGATCCCCTAGCTTAGTTATATATATATAACACATAAGAGGTGCTCTCACTATAGTACCACTGTAGGGACAATAGATATAGGATTTATGTTTTTTGATACTCTTTCGATGGACTTATGAGTATATAATTAGGGGTGCCTATGTATTGGAGTGGAAGTCATTTATTGCTAGAATAAAATCAATCTAAATGAGAGGTGAGGTGATACCATTATAGTTTTCTTCAGCTCAATTTAGGCCTCATTTTTTACTAGTGATACATCAAGGTTTTGAATAATAGTATTTTAACATTCTGTCATGGAAAAGATATGGGTATAATAATATTACTATCCAACCTTTGTCACCCTATTTCATGCTTCCTCTCTATATCCCTCTTCTCTCTCCCTTTCTCTTACTATTTCCTATTTCTCTTTATCATATTGTGAACTATATCACTAGAAAGTAGAATTGGCCCACATTAGTCACATGTAACTAACTTTCACCTTACTCATGATAATAAATATCCATAATAGGGCTCCCCCTGGTCTCCCTCTCTCTACTAACCAAATGACTCGGGGTAGAGTCTAAAATATCCCTTCTCAAATTCTTAATTTCTTGTGAGAACATTTAGACTCCCTTACTATCATAATTATGCTGATTATAATTTCTCTCTATCTTAGGGGGAAATCAAGATGTTTAATAACATAATTTATAATTGCATTGTGATTATCAATAATATTCATATATTGGTTAAGAGTTATGATAAATTTAGTTAATATCTTATTATATTTGAATAATAGTATAGTAATTTAATATTATCCAAGATCATATTGGTTCACTAGGTATTCAAACATGCAATTTATTAATAAATGAATAACAAATATTATGACTATTTAATATACCAATTATAATCAATATGCTTCCATGATGTTATAATAGTTTTAACTAGGTCCAAACTAGATAGATTATAAATAATTTAAATAATCAAGTTGAAAATATCTATTGGCATGCACTTGGAAAATTCAATCCTCACATTGAGATACTAATGACTCAATTATATTGAGGCCTATTTGAGAAACATTCTAGACATGATATAATTTCCCAATATTCCTATATAATAGCTTTCACTATTTATAAACGAGTATTTAAATAATATCCATACCTATTAATGGTTAAAGAGCATGTTCAAATATTTAATAACCTATAGAGAGGACCAAATTGGTTATACACTTGCTGCCTCATCTCATATGTGAGTCCTCGTATTATGGAGCTATACATATTATAGCTCCATAACATAGAGAGTGTACAATATATTTTAAGACTACTGGTAAATAACCAATTACATGTAATTTTCATGGCATACTAAGGCATTAGAGATCTCCCATTATTTAACCATTACACCCATACATATATGTTTATCATGAATCTTGTATGTATATTTGGCTCAAATTAGCAATACTTCTTCATTTGTAGGCTAATAAAGGATTATAATGCACTTGAGGGTTGGTATGATAACAGGTGAAGAGAATGGATGGGTGAGTAATAGGTTATCCTTAAATTAGACTTGTTAATATCAAGTGTTTAGCTAAAGATTAAATGGTATGGGGCACGAAAGTGATATTGCCCCCATAGCTTATGTATATATTATTAGACCTATTGTAATTATATGGGTTACTAGTAGGTAAAATGTAACATATTTAGGCCCATTCTGATCTGCCATATTATAATAATATACCACAATGGAAATGAGAAGTCATCCCTACCATAAGATGACTATATTAATATTTGAACGAGTCCTTATATCACTGGGATTATATATCCAACTTAGATAATGGATTATATTTACCATTATGTCTAATTGAGAGTCCCTCATTACCCAATTATATGTTAACGATATCTCTACCTTAAGTGAGGGGATATTATACCATCTCAAATGAAGAAAGAGAGAGAAGGAGGCAAAAGATATTGAACTACATTTAGTGGTTAACTTATTCTTTCATTAGTTTTCTCTTGGTTGTTAGAATTTGATCATAATTGGCAAAATAAACATGATACCTAAAGTGGGTATAATCTACTTTATCATTTATCAAATTAGATTAAAAATATAGTCTATCTCTTAATATTTGCACGTTCACATATATTATGAAACATTTGATTTTTTCCTTTCCCTCTACATATGCATTATGGACAAGGTTTGGTAGATTATAATTGATAGGGTAATCCACCATTAATCTTATAAGATGCTTATTGGTCATATGGTCTCCTTCTCTAGCTATTAGGTTTAGTACGCTTTTGAGGATCTAAGACTTATATGTACTAGCAAAAGATTGGCCTTTTTATAAACTAAATATTACTCTTGAGTCATATAGAACTTGTTAATAAATATACGTTATGATTAGTACCTTGATAGTTCTTTCCTATTGGACTTACCAAGCCGAATAAACTAATTAAATGATTCATTAACCCTATCCTCATCACAATCATAAGGACATGTAAATTATTCTCCTTGTCATGGAACCATATTGATTATAATCGATATATTAAATAGTCATAATAGCAATATTATAACTCCTATCCAATAAGGATAACGACCTAATATAGGATTAATATGTTGGCCTCACTTTCTCTTTATATAGGCCAGCCATGCATTAGAAAAATGCTTAAAATTCTACTTGGTTTGAGGGAGATAATCAATTGTAATACCTCTTGATTAAAATTAGGTCATTTTTATGCTCTACATATGAATCAACTAACCATCAGCTTGTGTATGACCATCCTTTAAAAAACATTGATGACCTTTTCATTATTGGCTTTATAACACTTATAACAATGATCATAATATTATTCACCTATTCATGGTGATCATATTAACCATTTCTATTGGGAACCCTTTACAATGTCGAGGGACTATCTGAATTAATATGGGGACCATCTAAAATATCTCCTCTCTATGGTGGAGGGAGGCGTATGCCCATTCTTTAGAATTGCATAGGACTATTGTAAATAAATACCAATTAAAACCATCTCTCCCAATTATAATAACTCCTTATTTGACCATAGGAGAGACAGGTCCCTTTTTTCTTGTTGTGTAAAACAATTAGTTAGTATGAACTGAATATTATGATGGTGCATCCCATAAGTGATCCATCTATGTTATCAATATAAAATAGCCCATGTATTGAATATACTCCCTCTTGGTGAATTGGCCAAAGTTCTATCGAATGTACTCCTCCTTCCTCTTTCTCTCATTAGTTTTCCCTCACTCGATCTATGTTAACCTAGTCTTAGTATAAGTCATGCCAAACGAATAAAAATTATGCTAGGGGAGAAGGTAGACATGATGCGAGTAAAAGATCACTCTAATAACAATTATTGGAGTACTTGGATGAGTGAGGCTATTAATAGTAGGTATAATATTAACATGATGTAGTAAAGGATTATTGATGGTCAAATGATCAATGTGACATAGTTTGTTATTATCACTAATGCTTTAATTAGTTGGTCATATAGCGATCTATCTCATATTTTGGAAAATGAGTTCCATAAGGTATGCAACTTAGTCCTCTGCCCCTCTCCCCTCAAGATTATTTTTTCTATAATTCCTTATTCAATTATGATTTATACCTATCTCCTATATTACATTAGTTGATTACAAATCTATCACCATAAGTCATTGTCCATTTATCCAAACTCTTTCGATGAGGTTTCACACACGTATAAAGCCGGACAGTGGCAAAAGGGTATCATCAAAAGATGTACAAGTTAATCCCATACAAGATTAGCCTATAGTTAGCGATAAACTAATCAGGAGAGAGTGTTTATAATGGAATATATCCAATTTAACAATATGCTATAGCCTTGTTCTTGGGTGTCAATGATTAACTATAGGAATTGGTTAACTCTCCTTGAGAGCATAATAATGAGGTATTATAAACTATTAATATGGTAGCTAGGGATTATCTATAGAGAATAAATTGAGCTTAATATAATTATCATTCATAATAATCTTAAATAGTTATAATCCTTTAGTAGAATGATATATCATAAGATGTCTCAATGAAACGACATATATGAGTCTTCAACTAGATCGCATTTATACCAAACACTCTCTGATATGTGTTAATCGATCCCTATCAAAGAGTTGGTATAGTTGATCCCTCACTCTTGCAAATCCCATGCATTCTTCGCAAATTGACGTAAGCCTATAAGTTAGATAGGCATGATCAAGTGCATCAATATAATTAACTCCTAAGGAGACATCCTATTTATAAAATTAGGTTGATGATGGTGAATAGTTTAATGGTGGGCTACCTTGTCAATTATAATCTACTACACCTTGATACGTTTTTCATATTAGAAATGTTTAGCTCCAATGGGTACTCATATTGTAACTTTCAAACCCCTCTATTTAGAGACTTTTATTCCCCCCTCTCTCTCCTTTATAAGAATACTTACTCTAAATGAGGGAGTAACCATTATTTACTCCCTCCCTCTATGACATAAAGGATTAATCCTTTGAATATGTCCTTAATCGTTTGGTATTATACAGACTAGTTTAACCTCTTATAAAGGTTGCATTATCCTTCTCCAAATAATTATATAAATATAACTAATGCCATTACCAAGATAATTGCAACACCTAAAAGAGGAAGGGGTTAAATAGAATAATCCCACTTAATACGAAACCACTAAGATGGTATTGGCTTATGTCTATATCATTCTACTAAGCTTTGTAGGTATAATCCTCATTAAGGAATTAATATATGAGATGGAGATAGGAAGGATTCCATTTATATCAAATAAAATTAGTCCCTAGCCCATGCTTTCAATATGAGCACCCATAAAGGCACCTCATTTATTTTACATATTATTCCCTAGGTGATTTTTATGTAATATTCTTATAATTGTTCCCTATCTTTTGCTCCTACTAGGATAAATCGTTAGCCCTAGCATTTTACTAAAAGAATTAAGTTATAAACCTTGAAATTAGAGTAGTTGATGTGAATCCACCTAGCTCAATGGCTAGAGAACCCACGAACAAGAAGGAAGAATTCCTGGAAAGCCAAATTAGTTTAGAAGGATATGGATGCTTCACTCTAGAAAGGGTAGAAAGGGAGTGATAGGTCACTCAAATGCCACGAAAATCAAATTAGACTCTTGATAAGTTTTGAAATTCAGCTATAGAAAGAATTAAGGTGTCAATTTTCTCGAAAAGGTTGATTTGATTCAAATATTGATTAAAACAAAAAATTACATGTAGTTTTTACCTAAATAAGCTACTAGAAATTCAAAAAGATAAAGCTAAATTAAATTACATAGGATCTAACAATAAAAAAATTTTGAATCCAACAAAGCTTTGAAAAGTCTTCTTGAAATTAGAAGAACGCTCCTTGGATTTAGCAGCCTTTATTATGGACCAAAACTTGATGAATGTTGATTGGAAAATTAGGTGTAAAATGTTGACTTTCGGAAGGCTTGGAAATGGATTGATTTAGTAGCTTTGGCTTGCTAAATTTTTTTCCAAAATTTCAAGGAAAGATGGTTCGGTCTGATTGGATTTCAAGTCTGAAAAATTCAGCCCAATAGCTTGATATGATGCATAAGGCCCATTTGATGGTCTTCAAGTCCATTGATGGAGAATTCACCCCAATAGCTTTGTTTATCATTAGGAAGCCCATGGCTTAATTAATATGCATTCCTCTCACCCAAATGATAATTGAATTAGCCCATTTTGATCCAGGTTTAATTCTTGTTGCTGGCTCATTAATTTGAGCCCAAATACCAAGCTTTGACTCTTTTTTAAAACCCGTTTCCATGCAAATGCAAATCAGCCCATGTGAATTTGTGAAGCCCAAATTTCTTTATGGAGTAATCCATTTAATTCTACATAATTATAACCCTCCCATGATCATATCGGTAGTGCTCAGATTGAAATAAGGGAAAAGTTTTTATCAAGGGATTCCTATCTAATGAACGAATGTCTTAGTTAATAAATGTATCCATTCCAACATGCTTCTAATTCTAGTCATGAGATAGGGAACTTGTAATCAATTATCAATATATCGACAACCATAGTGATATCATGGAGTCAAAACCAGACTACCTATCCCTCCCTCCCTCCCTCCTCTCTCTCTCTCTCTCTCTCTCTCTCTCTCTCTCTCTCTCTCTCTCTCTCTTTCATTTACTCATTTACCTCCCTCCTATCCCTCTCCCTCTCCCATGATAGATTAATAACCACTTAATAGGTGAGAAATTATGCCATGAAGAAAGGAGATCTCATCTCTCAACTAAAAATTATTAGGAGAGGGAGAGGGAGAGGGAGAGAGGAGTGAGAGGGAAATGAGGGAGGTAAATGAGTGAATGAAAGGGAGGAGAGAGAGTGGATAGAGAGAGGCATAGGGAGTATGGTTTTAACTCCATGATATCACTATGGTTGTCGATTAGTTTGGTTAATGATGTATTCCTTTAGGGTAACTACAAATTAATATCAATAATTTAATTAGACATATCATCTTAAATTCCACTCATAATAGTTATCGATAAAGTTATAATAACTATTATTATGCATGAGTGAATGGGAATCCAAAGGGATAACATTTACACAAGTTTAAGTTATGGATGAATAATTAAAACTTGGAGAGAAGGTTTTTTGATGCTCTATCATTGATAATACAAATAAAGAGTGTTTCTACATTGGCAAGAGGGGGAATGATGATGTTTGGGTCTATATGTTCTCCTACCCTATCTCCAAAAATGTGCCCTTAATGATCAAATGGTTATAGCTATTTCTTATCGATCACCCGAGCATGTTACTTGGAGTCAATGTTATCATAATAGTCACAATTAGCATATTCATGCAGTTATTACGCCAATCCTTTAATATCACAAATTGGTGATACGATTATATATTAGCCTAGAGGGATGATGTAGCCTTAGGCTAATTTAGGCCATACTAAGAGGGACTAGGGAGATATCACTAGCATAATATCTATGGCTCTCAATAATAGGTTGAGAGAAATTGTTATGAGGGTCTAAGAGTATTGTAATAGAGAATTGTTATTCCTAGTATATATATGATAAAGTGGTAGAGGGGAGAGAATGAAAAACGTTTTGCCATTATCTCAATATACGTGGAATTTTATGGTGAATAGGTCATCTCTTTAAATAATTATCTAAGGTATATCCCGAAAATGATATTTATCTTATAGGGTTTGCTATAGGGAGATGGAGAAACTCATGGTGATACATCCTGAAATTGGATATTCGCAAGGTCAAAACGTTTGGGACAATCAGGTATTCACCACAAACATAGCTATGATAATTATCAAAATAGGGTTCCTAATATTTAATACCAATGGTAAGTATCTTGAACTATCATTACAAGAGATGATCTAGTTTGAGAAAATAAGAGATTAATGATAATGTCCTTAATAGATGAATATTAGGGATTGTCACTCCATGATATAAATTGACAAATAGGTTCCTCTAGTACATACTCTATAGATGGGGCGAGATTATTCATTAGGCAAATGTTGTACTACACTAGGATAACCAATCCTAGAGAAAAATTTACTAATTATATACTATATTATGTTATACCTCTAAACCAACCCATGGCACTAATTCTAGTATGACTAATCCAATAGTATCCCTGTGTGATTCTTGATTAGCTATAAGGAACTAGTGTAGTACAACTTCTACCTTTATGACCCTATAATTCATTTTTAGGTGTATTGTAAGCTTTTGGTGGAATAATCCTACTTTTTAAGAGCGTCTATAATATTTTTACTTCTTGATGATATCAAGAATATATACAATATAATAAATGCAATTTTTCTCTACCTAGTTTAAATTATGGGTCCTCTATTATTGGTCACACAATATACATTGGACATAATAGATAGAAATATAAGAGAGTTTTTAAAGGGAAAATGTACTCTGCATGTAAAGAGACATTTGGTTAACCTTTAGTATGTTTCCTCTAATACCTCATTAGCCATATCTCGGTTTAACAAATATTATAATTTCTATGAATTAACATAGTTAGTTATCAAGAAAATTGCATCATAATCCTTAATACTTTATTGGTTATTAGAGCTAATGAATATTAGGATGATAGGGTATAACCAATATATAGCCAATCTTGTACCTTCTACGATGAGAAATATTCATCCTCATGAAGAATTATAGTCAATTAGGTAATCTATAATATATACCTATGGTTCACCCCGATTGAGGATGATACCACCTGGTTATAATATACAATTATGGGGAGATAGCTCATCCTAATATTATATAGTTTTCTCACCCTAGTATTTTTTTTCCCATAAATCTATGGACACGTTAGTTAGGTAGCCAATCAAATTATACTTATATTATTATCATCTCTAATGTCTATGTACTAAATGGCCCTAATATTTCGTAGCTTGATATGCTATAAGACGGGGCTATTCATAATAATATAAGTATACCATTGTTAAACTATTACAATGAGGCACTACTATAGTAGGCTATATTACAATATATATTTATTCCAAAAATATCAACATTTTTATGTACTTTGTATGACCACGTTCTATAGGGTGAATGTACATTTTAGCAATGCAACTATTCTAACGAATAATTGCATTCCCTCATCATTTTAATCAATCTCTATTAATGCCTCATTGTAGTATGAATTGGTCCTCTTGTTATATAAATGTACTCTCCATGGGATTATATAATGTAGCTTCCTATAGTCCATGGCTATTAAGTAGATAATAGTTTAATTGATATAAACTAAAAGGAATACTCCCTATCGGGATGATAGATTTGGCATAAATAAAATGCATGTGAATGATAGGATTCTTTAAGCATGAGCTATCTTTCCCTCGGAGGGTATAGAGATTAGCCCAATTAATTAAGGGTATTGTTATAGTTTCTATCAAACACATATGTTAATATATGGAGTTTAAATTTGATAGGTTCGTAGTAAAGATCATAACATTAATAAAAGAACGAACCTTTGATAGGTTAAGCATTATGTTGAGTAAGGGCCACAAGGAGGGATTCCCATATTGAATTCAACTCTAATACCCCCTCACTAGCAAGTTATATTACGGATATATGATTAAATATCTACTTCCTTATTATGCTTAATGTTATCTATTAATTTGAAGAGGATTAATTTAGTATACTCCATTCTAATTGGCACCGGGTTGAATACTATGGCATTGTTTAGGGAGAGTATTATAATATACCTTATTTAAATATCTCCCTTTGTTATCAATAGATTGTCCTTTCAAACAGGACTATAAAAGTACTCATATAAAAATACTGATTCATTGAATATTTACAATGAGATATTTATAAGGTAAAATACCTATATAAAATAAGTATTTTGGGTAATTAGAACTTATCTTTCCACATGAAGACAAGTACCTTCTATAAACTTATGGAGATAGATCTCCTAAACTCGTTAATTAATAAGGTCCTATATACCACATCTATAAGAGATATATTTAAAGGGATTAATTGATTAACCCTTATCTTTCTACATATACCCCATCTATGAGGCTCTATAACCCTTACAGCATGGGAAATATAATTAGCGTGTTTCATAAACATTATATTGAATAAGGGCCACAAGGAGGGATTCCCATATTGAATTCAACTCTAATACCCCCTTACTAGTATGTTATATTATGGATATATGATTAAATATCTACTTCCTTATTGTGCTCAATGTTATCTATTAATTTGAAGAGGATTAATTTAGTATACTCCATTCTAATTGGCACCAGGTTGAATACTTATGGCATTGGTTAGGGAGAGTATTATAATATACCTTATTCAAATATCTCCCTAGTATCCAAATAGATGAATTCTAAGCATCTCCCTACGTTATCAATAGATTGTCCTTTTAGATAGAATATGATTGAATTTATCACTGTGATGCATATGTTCCCTATCTCTATCCATTCGAAATTACTACAATGTCATAATTGGTATAGTCAATAATAGATATTCATTGGGATATTACATGGATATATCAACTCAATAATATATAATTTAGTTATCGAGCCTCTCCGGGAATTGTTTCATTATCAAAATTTTAGGTCATGACTATAAGGCAACATCACCAAACTTTGACGTTGTCATAATATAACCCTTGTTAGGGTTTGGTCCTCATAAATTCCTTAGTATATCCTAATTATATTACCTATTATTCCCTATGTCTTATAATATTTGATTGTAGATATTATCCTTATCTAAGGCTAATTATCTCGGTAGAAAAAATAGGGATAAACTAAGGAATCTATTATCTACCGTTATGGGTAATATCCATATCTTCCTCTTGGAATAGTACCCTCTGCTATGTCAACTCATATATCTCATAAGGGTTAAATTTGAGTACCTAAATTTTGATACCTATCATTGTATGTGTTATGTCTAGTTAGGTATATTACTATGAGTGGACCAATTTCACCTACAATTAATATCGACTAGCAATTAATCTAAGTATTTATTATCATTAATAGGGCATTGGCTTATGATCTCCTATCTATACATGAGTTTGTTAATCCATGGTCATTTATCACTATTAGCCAACATAATAAGGACCCTTATTTTTCTTGTACTCATTGAATAGATTGGAGAATAAGTACCCTCCCTCATTACCGGATGCATATTATTCGAGTTAAATATGAACATAAATCATATTTTCTTGTTGACTATTTTGACCAATATTATATCTCTCGTGGTTATATTATGGAGGGTTTATAGTATTCAAGAAAATTATTAACTATCGTATTGATGTGTAGGCCTCCTTTGAATCGTTATCCATAATGTTATAGCTTTTAGTACAATCATATCTGCGTTTTGCATTAGATATGTTGATGTTAAAAATACATCAATGACATAATATACCCCATAAATGAGTAATATTAGTTCTCATTTATGGCTTACCAATTACGATATATGCCAGATTATTAGGGATAAATTATTGCCTTATATGAACAATATCACTCCAATCGAAGGTTCACATATCATAATCCCCTAACTATCAAATAATTGATCATAGAATGTCATTATTAAGATTATTGGTGAATTAACATGGATGATAATTATACTAGGGTAATATCATACTTGAGCATAAAACTATTGATATTAAGATAACCTCTAAAGTAATATTTTGCCCTATTATCCTATTCATGAGTTTGCTTAAAATTTAAGGTATTTTGTAATGGAGACGACCTATTACTAACCAATTAGAAGATACTCTAATATCCCTCTCGAGTTATGATGTTTATCATACCTTCCAACAATTCCTCATATAATGTCATTCAAATTGACAACATATCTAATTAACCTATTCTTGGTTGAATCAAGTTATATGCTTATGAAATCATAGACTTCCGTATGTATACATGGATATTAGTTGGTAATATGTTCCTAGGGAGAGAGGTTAGAATAAGGATTAATTTAATTGATTCCATGTTGATATAGCCTAGTGACTAATGTGAAAAGGCTACATGTATCCTAAATTAAGAGATGCGTAATCTATAACTATACCACACTAATTGTGTTATCTATCAAACAAAATCAACTCCTATTTGATAGTTAGGGGATTAATGCACACAATTGAATTAACACTCATCACATTATGAGTGGGGGTTAATACATCTCAAAAGAATTTATATCATCCATGCTTTGATATATTAACCCTCCGAGTGCATAATTCATATATTGATTAAAAATACACTGGTAGATATATAAAGTAAGGGAATGATATATTCTCGGCTGATTTATAGTAATACAAACACATACAGAGAGAAACGAAATGGTCAAATATTTTATATCCAATAGTATGGGCAATTGGGTTATAATGCTTAGTAAACTTTATCGGATGATTGCCCGTAAACCTTTACCTTGAGTAGGAGTTGATTATAAACAAAATACCCTATACAAATGCATATGTTAAAACTATACCCTAAATAACCTACCCATAGTTTTACAACCGATATAAATGGGGTAATATCAAGTCATATCTCTAAGCATTTCAACTTAACCATCCCTAAATCATAATTCATATATCTCCTTTTATACTAGTAACCGTTTATTATGAAGGTACCTGATTACAACCTATTCTTACATAAATGCACTAATCTCTAATATGATAATATATATCTAAATAATGTATTTTAGGTAATTAGAACTTATCTTTCCATATGAAGACAAGTACCTTCTATAAACTATATCCTAACCTTTCCATACAAAATCAGGCATTACCAACATTTATAAAATCAAGTACTAATGGGTGTTCCTAAGAATAGGCCTATTCATGTTTATATGAATATGGTACGTTACATGTTTGCAATCTTTTCCTAGTTACATAACCTCAATTGTATCATAACTAACGGGCATAACGAGTCTTTAGCATAATTGATCGATATTATACTATCATGGATAATATATTTTAGATATGGTAGGAAGATACTATATTAGAGGAGTTATTGGTTAAGATGATATGGACTGTTGTGTATCATGATCAATTCATGAATAGTTTATCAAGAATCATTATGTCTTCTCTATAGAAGGCCCATACTATTAACATATTGCATCCATATTGAAAGAGGATCCATGATAATATAATATCAATCAATTATCCAAAAACCTATTTAAGTAAAAATGGCCCTCATACCTGGGTGAATGAGGTATGGAATAAAGATAGGATTATTTTACAATGGGTTACCTTAATGGGAGTAAACTTTAAAATTTAGACCTACAGGTCTCATCCTAAAGGCAAGTGTTAATATCTATCCCCTAATACACTTATCCTAAGCTCATAAATATAGGATAATATGTATTACTAATCAATAATTATGCCCCTACTATAACATTTTTTGATTTATATTTAGTCCATACTTAATTCAAATTTCTATATTGTATACTCTCTATAGGTTCATTAATCTATAAACTGGTCTTAAAATTAATTACTTAGGTACAAACAAAGTTCTATTATCCTCTTAGATAATTATTCTAGTCAATAATATAGGATCTATTAATGAGAATAAATCATGGTTCAAACATAGATTCATATGATAGTTGATATTACCAAAATTAGATTATTAGTCACCACCCTAAGGTCAAAGTTGGTAGTAAATGGTTAGATATTTTCTATACTATTATAACTTAATTTGAGGGGGTATAAACTCATCCATATCCCAGTGATATCCATAACAATATTGATGTTTTTTTTTGTTAAATACTTCTATGGAGAGACCATAATATCTAAAATCAAGGGATGACAATATAGTTTAGGGATACCTTTGATAATTTATTTATAGATATTATGGGGTTAATATTATTTTACCCTTGAGGGATGTAGAGATTGGGATACTATTTATTGCATATTAATTACCTATATGGATGATATCCCATTAGGGGGTTATCAAAGCATGAAATCATGTATATATTCACACATCTTGATAAACGAATGGCATAAGGATATATGGTTAGGAATATAATAAAGGGTAGGCTATTATATTCCCAATAGCATTCATAGGATTTACCCTATTTTTGAATACTATATTC